CCCCCCCCCCCCCCCCCCCCCCGCTTTTTGTTGTATACTTCTAGAACCCACCACACCCCACACCTGAACAACAAAGAACGAGTCCCCACCAGACGCCGTCCTAGAAGCTGCATGAAGAACCCTCCAAGCGCACTGGTCCACGTACGTCTCCAGCGCCGACTTGGCGGCGACGGCACCGTCACCATCCTTCGGAGGGCCCCCTACACCCCCTTCTACGGGGCCCCCGCCAAAGCCACCCTCGCCAGGCACTCTCACCCCACTCGGGCTAGCGTCGCAGCAATGAGTGCCACCGGGTCCCCTGGACGTGTGATCCACCTCTTGGTCTGCAGGGACGCTTCTTGGAGGCCTCACATCCACTTCATCCTTGACCCCCTTGGGTTTTACAGTACCAGTACCAGTAGAAGTACCAGTGGCGGAGGCGGCGGCGGTATCGATAACGATTCGCGCGCCCCCTGTGTCTGGCTGAACGGCGGCGGCATCGGGCGGCCTGGCCACTCTACCGGGCGTCGCTTGTTGCTGCTGCTCCTGCTGCTGCTGCTGCTGCTGTTTTTGGTCTTGAACAGCGGCTTGCAGAAGCAAGGTTTGGATTTGAGACCAGCACCGGGATGGGTCGGTCGGTACCTTGTTCACGTCGAATCGCTCCCGACTCACATCCTTCAACGTCTGGCGAGACGGCGGCGGGATTCACGGAAAGAGTGTCACATGTACAGCATCGCATATGCATAGATGAGCGAGCGGTCAACACGTGCCTCCCTTGAGAACGTCAGGGAACACGGAACACTAGCTATGCCACGCGATTCGACGGGTCTTTACAGGAAGCACTAACGCTGCCGCTGTATTAAAAAACACAGCAGTGCAGGCGGAAGCACCTGCGAAACGTCGAAAGGGTGATCATCCCCGCCGGAAGGGTCGTACGAAGGCAGAGGCATGTCCGTCAAGCTCGACGACAATGACTTGAGCACCTCCAGGAAGTGCTCCGCGGATCGGTATACCTGGATTGGAGAGAAGAGATAATAGGAGAGGAGACGAAGAGCGCATGGGGGAGGTGGGGGCACAACAACGCGAGGTGTCCTTGTTGGTTAGTGGTGTGCCGTGCTTGTGATACACAAGAAAAAAATCCTTGATTTCCCCCACTATATTAGAACGTTCGTCTCCTGTGTTTGTTAGGGTGGCGAGAATCGTGTCTGCGGGCACCCGCAGAAAGTGCACCGCAGACCAGTATACCCTGACACAAGAGCGCGCGGCATAAGGGGGAGCAACACCTCACCAGGCAGTCAGATCTAAAAAAGGCTGCAAAAACTACAGGACCCCAAAGAGGCGGTAGCGCACATCCATCCTGGGAGTAAAACTACACTGGCAAGACATGCTGTACCAGGAAGATATATAATCGCCGGCGGGGTCAGGTGCTGATCATGGGGACCCTTGTATTACCGCTGGGACGATTCCCTGGCTGATAATCCTACTACTAAACAGTCTACGCAGCTTGCTCCGACAAGCACCGTGGCCACAGGCAGCAGGCGAAAAAAACACATCGAAAAAGAAACAGGCACGCCCCCTGCCGTAGCCACTCACACACCCAGGTCCACACATGTCGTGCGCGCTTTGCAACTCCCGGGTCGTTCTCACAGACGACAAAGACACAATTACACACTGCGGTTGCCGTCCACAAGAGCACACCTATGAGCCAACAAGTAAGGCTGTCGAAGCAACAGACTCTGCCTACCGCACACCTGGTTCTTTAGGCTGCTGCGAAGCCCTTCGTCGATGCTTCGCAGGAGGCCCTCCGTCGCGCTGCCCTGGTACAAGATGTCCCTGTTGGCACGCAGCCAGGAGGCGAACTCCATGACCAAGGGCTGCAAGAACCGCTCCGCGTTCTGCGCCGGGCTCATCCAGAGCTTGGCTCGGGCCTCATAGTCCGTCACGATCTGCCGGCAGACTTCTCGGACCTTCGTTCGCGTTGTTCGTGGAGTTGCAGCAAAGGGGGGATGGGGGTCAGCCGGTATCATGACACACTTGCCTGATCTGTCGGTGCAGAAGTGCAGCGGAAAATATGTGTCAATCTACATAGACGATGCCGAAAATAACGCGAGGGCAACTTCATTCTGAGGAATGAGCTGATTTCTCAGGCGCTTTAAAGTGCAGCCAACACATCGTTATTCACGCAGCGTGACAAGTCGTCATTCTGTTTCTCAGCATTCGCGCTATGACAGAACCGACTGTCAAGAACACTCCGGGCGGGGAAGGGCCGATACAGTCGCGGTCCAACGGAAATTGTAACCAGTTGAATAAACCCGGCTTGCTCATGGTTGCGACCAATCAGAAAACTGAGGAAAGAATGCAGCTCAATTACAAATACGTAGTCCCCAGGAACTGCTCAGAATCAAAAGACATAAGGACGATGTGGTTCTAGCCCTCCCCCCTCCCCATATTGACATGTATATCTGCGAGCCCCCTAGACAATCGTCACCTCCGGGGCCAGCAAGCGGACGTGGAGCAGCTCGCACGCCATGCAGAACAGCAGCGGCGGCAACAGAGTCCTGGCCGGGCGCTGAAGCGGCAATATTTCCGCCGCGTTTGCGGCGTACCCCCTCACCACGGACTCCACCCGCATAGCGTCCAACTGTTTCACGCCGTCGTCGTGTGAAAGGACCAACCCGCGGGGGAAAGGACGGGGAATCATATTAGTTTGTTCCGTCAACAATCCTACGCGGGCTTGCGAGTCTGGCTCGCGACCTCGAGAAAACTGCCAAAGATCCAAGTTGCGATACTGCTGTTGTATATCATCGGCGCCGATGCGTACGGACCCCCGGTTTCCCGCCACCGTTTCGCGGGAGATATTCAAGAGGATGGGGGCGAATAGTGCTCTGCCATCGCCAAAAAACCCTCGCACATCACCAGCAGACCACACGATCGACTAACAAAGAACAAAGCACCCACGCTCCGTGGAAATATACTCAGGAGAAGCAATCTTACCGTCGCTGGGAAAAAACGACGTCTCGAGGGCGGTGGTTACACAATGTAGGCAGCGGAAACACGCCTCAGTCAGGAAATGTCGCCAAGACGCTAGATCGCCTTGCTCTTCAAAGCAACGAGTCCCGATTTGGCCGCGGAGACCTCTAAAATTAATAAACCTTGGCCTTAGGGCTGGACAGGCATGCGACCCTCACGGCCACAAATGCTTAAGGACAGACATCTGCCGGCAGAGTCCTCCTCGGGCTCGTGGCGGACATCGGTGGTTCGACAAAAGCACTACTTGTAACATGTATCGGGCCGAGCTCGATAACCGGACTGGTACCACGAATTTAGGACCTGGTACTCAAAAAACAAAGCAACCGCACACAGAACCGACAACGGCACCAGGTATGTGTGCATAACAAGTCGCCAACCACTCAAAAGCAGGCGTTTGCTTACCGCGATGTCAGCCTCATCGGTGCCCTCCCTCTCAGCCTTCATCATCGCCACGAACAAGCTCATGCGGAACGTTAGCTCTTCCTTGGAGATCTGGTGACCCTGAACAAAAACAATAAAAAGGAAAAGGGGGCAGGAAGGATACACAACGATACGTTTGCCCCAACAAAAACGGTAAATAAAGGGCGCTTCCATGCTGAATATACTGCCCGAAGGAATGATGTAGGCGAGAATTACGAAAACATCACAAACCCTTCAACGCGAAACAAGCATTGCCCGACGCGTCACACACATCATTGCACACTATCACCAACACCACCAAGAATAACGACAGCAACACACGCGTACAAGTACAGGAACCGGCCCAGCGCGCCCGATGCCTAGTTCCGTGTGAAGACGGACCAAGGAAAGCTGCCCATCCATATACATGTATGCAACATTTTTGGGTCTCACATGTCCCTGAGGCACGGTCATCCCTGCAGGTGCCGTCCGCGCAAACGCTCCTCGTACCGACTGCTGCCACGTCTTAGCGGGCACGCTCAGCACCACCGATCGTAAAAAAGCCTCGATCTGTCTCAACAAACCCAAGAAGGAGGAGCGAAGGGGGAGGTTGAGGCGGAGGAAGACGGGATACCTTGTTTCGTTCTTTTCGATACTGCGGGGCCGCCGTAGGTGACGGGGTGCAAGAAGCATGGAAGGCAGGCCTTCCAGTACGTAGGAACAACCACTTCTGCGTGATCACGTCGATACGGTACGGCCCTCCGGTGCTTCCGGTCTGCCCCTCCGGACATTGCGATTCGGCCATGCAACACACCATGCTCTCTGAGAACTCTTGGGACACGACGCATGCTGCTGCCTCAACGTCGCGCCTGACACTACTGTAGAAAATTACAGTACGGCACTTCGCTTTGGCAATAGCAATCAACGTTCCATTCAACGTGGTACGCCACAGAGGCAGGTAAGGGCACGAGCATCGCTAGAATGGAGCTTCGGTGTGGTCGAACCACCAGCTTCTAAACGTGCAAGGACGAGGATGGGCACAATACCCACAGCATTCAAAAGTGTAGTCACGTGCACGGTGACTGTCGTTGTTCTTACCTTGATCGTGTGACGCGTCTTGAGGACCGGCACGTCTAGCTCCTCCAAGGCCACCTGCTCCAAAACCTGGATGCGGGCGAAGGGGAACGATCAGATAAAATCGCTCTTTCAAGACATATCACCTTCGTAGGAGGTAATAGATCTGCTTTCTTTCGGTGTGACATGCCAACGTTACGACCATTCTGTACCAGCAAGGCGAGCTCGTGCCTATTCGCGCAGATCAGTATGGAGAAATTTGCGCCTAAGTCGCCCAAGTCCGCCGAGGCTAAATGCTCTAGCCGATGGTGACCTAGCCATTCCCCCCGCTAGCTGCAAAGGCAAAAGCTGTATCACAGCATGAACCGGGTTGGTGTGCGATTGCTGAGAGAGTTCCGTACCGTTTTAAGACGACAGTATAACAACAGCAGCGACGCGCCTAAGACACCAACAGCAGCTCAACATTGCCACGTCCACACCACTCGACGACTCACGCTCGCACCACGCCACCAATCGTGCGGTACTGTCCAGGTGACCTTAGGACATCGAAAAACGACTGGCTCCCTCGTTCACTCTCTTCTTCCCTTCTTTCATTTTCTCCGTCCCGTCTCCCCCCCCCCGGTGGTTGCCATCGGGGTTAGGTTTTCGTCGCTTGGCAACGACGTTGTGAACAAGCCCCCCCTCGGTGTTTGCCATCGGGATTGGGTTTTCGTCGCTTGGCAACGACGTTGTAAAACAAGCCAATTCACTTCGTGAACTCGGCAACCAGGATACCGTTTTTTCTTTTTACCTCTGTTTATTTTTGGCGGTAACCATAATCATAATGGTGGTCGAGTAGATCACGCTGTGCGGGGTGGAGACCCCTCACTCCGCGCAAGGGGGATGATCGCACCACGTTGTGCTACAATGGTCAAGCACCCTCGAGGCAGTTACACAGTGCTCACAACTGTCTCTGGAAGTGAAAGCACCAGAAAACAAACTAAGTCATACGCAGCTGTCATCCGTCTGCAAGAGAGTGAGCACGAGATGCCGAACACCCTTAGCAGGATGCAGCGCACCCTTCATGCGACTCGCCGAATA